TTCAGAAATTATTCTTGGTCCCCAGTGTGTTCTTCTTTTGACTTTGTTGATTTGCTTCACCAGCTTCATATAGACTTGATGCTTTGTATCGATGAATGATGGGGAGAGCAGCCAATAGCTTACAAAATGAATTTTTTAAATTTGTTTTCTCTTGCTTCAGTTCTGCCCCCATTCCCCCAGATTCAGCACTTCTTTGTTAGCATCAAATGTGGTGCTGGTGTTTGCTGGCACTGCAGGGGTGCTGCATTTCCATGAGCACTTAGAAGCCAGCACTGCTTCTGACCTCCCATCCTTGTTCTCCAGCCTGCACTCACACTGGCATTTTTATGAACTCTGGGGAGGTACATTGGAAGTCTTAAAATTGTTTTATTCTTAGTGCATGGTACAAGATCACAGCATTGATCTCAAGATTTGCTGCATGATTTGCTGTGTGATTGTTTGCTCCCCTGAGTAGGATGATTAATGGTTGTGGATTTTAGGAGGGGACAGGGAAGGGGATCAGGACTATATATGGTGGCAATACTGGCTGAGCCTGGAACTTCAGTGAGATTTAAGTCTTGCCTTGTAAAATTAATGCTTCCTAAGGGTCAAAAGAATTTGTGGACCTAGATTTAGAGATGTGCATTAGTGTTCCAGTTGTTCTAGATTTAACATCTCAGCTGTGAGGATTTCCCTGCATATCCAAGTTAGGTTATTTAATATATCACAGCTTCTGTTTTGTGAGTGTTAAAAATCTATGAATATCACTGCTGTGGCACTTTGAAGGTGAGTGGAATCCGTGGGTGTAGAAATGCTTTGGAAATGGCAGTAGCCTCTTAATGAACGACTAAATTCTTTCCCTCACTAAAACTGTAAGCACCAAGACAAAATTATATATTCTGGCAAAGCATCAGTACTCTTTAATTTTTAGAAATTCCTGTTGTCATGAGTGTGTGATAACTGTCAGCTGACATTATGTAACTTGCTTTGTCTGAAACACATTGGAGAAAGCTACTAGTCTATGCTGCCCACATACTACTTCCTTCCAAGTGTTTTGTAGTATTCCTAACCATAGTTATGTAGCCTGTGATATAAATTAAATGAAATACTGATAGAGCGATCTAGAGTGGTAATAGATGACTACCTATGTTAGAAAACCTATCTAATACTGAGACTGCTTTTAATACAAAGAGGGAAGGTGGCTGTGTGGCCTTGAGTGGATTGCTTGGTCTCTATTTGTAGTGTTTGGGGAAAAAGTGAGACACACCTACACTTAAGATGTATTATGTCAAAATGTCGCTCCCACATCAATAATGATTATACTGTTCCATATGGTGTTCAGTGGTCTGTCAAGAAGAATCAGAAGACTTCTGATAAGGATAAGCAAAGGGAGTAAGTCAAATCTGCTCTTAATATAGGCAGGTGTTTCAGAAGATGACTGTTACAGGACAACTTCTTGGAACAGGGAGCTGGTACTGGTAGTACTAGGCCCCTTGTCACTTCAGAGCATTAAAACAAACAAAAAAAAGGCATTTCCTTTTTTCATTCTGTGAAGATACTGTGATTGGCATTGACTGGGGCATCTTGCCAATTGTATGGGGAAGTGGGGAGAAATGTCTTACAAGCTAGTGGTCAAAATGAGGTGGTAGGTGGGGAATGGTGCTTATCAGTAAGGATACTTTTGATACTCCTGTGAATAGTTTCACTGAAGTTGGGACTTGAACAGTTGGATGTATGTCCCAATGCCAGGGAGGGCAACCTGATAAAAAGTAAGCCTTCAGACTGTGTTTGTATTTTAGGTTCTGAAATGGTATGCTTGTCTTTCTGCCACAGATCATATTTTAAGCTTTTTTGTCTATTACAACCCTGTTTGTATGGAATTTAATGATACGCTAGCTAAATGCCACCTAATGCCTCCTTTTTTGTAGTGGTAGCAGCAGCAAAAGCAATGTTTCTTACTACTAGTATGTGCGTTTTACAGTTACCACTCCTGTCTTTTGCCAGGATCGTGATTTTTGTGGGGAGGATGCAGAGCAGTGATGGAGGCCTTGGTGTGCCTGCCTCTGGAGAACACGTTTGCACTGGCAGATGGTGTATTGCTATAATATGGGTTTACACTGATGCAAATAGAATCTTGGGTTCTGAGCAGATCAGTGGGGTTCTGTTGTTTCTCTAGGGTCCCCTTTATTCCCTCTCTTCCCCAGATCCATCATATTTACTGACTTGGACAAGCATATGACTATTGAATGCTGAAATATAAATTACCATTTGGAACTACAGACTGAAATGAAGTTGAGAAGAGCAAGCATTCATACTTTCTCTTGTATTCTGTCAGCTGCAAGCTTAGAAAAGCATGTCAGGAGAGTGGTGTTTAAACAAGTTTCTTTACTATGTCTCATAATAGTAAGATTCCTAAATGCTGTCTGTGGAGATGGATGGGTTGAAAAGGTCAGTAACTAAAGGTGAACCAGGGCATGAGGAAAGAAGACTGTCAACTTAGGAATATGTATTGCAAAAGTCAGTTTTATGTATATGACTGGATCCCATCTAGGAAAGTCCTTTCCAGTCACTACCTGTGCTGCCATAAATTAAAACTTTCTTTGTTTTAACAAAGGTTAAGTGGGTTTTGCTATAAATGAATTGTGAGTATTAGAACCTAGTTAATAAGGTGAGGTTTTGGAAGGTAAATAAAATGATTTGAGTGGTTAAAACTGTATGGAAGTCAACATCAGAACTGTGGAAATACTAAGCTCAGGAGTTAATGGTGAATGCTCACACTCTCTAACCTGATAAATTTTGCAGGTATTTCTTCTCTAAGAATGTGCAGTATGTCCTTGAGTCTTTCTCCAGACTCTACTGTTTCTCTGAAACCAGGTAAGTAGTTTTTGTGTGTTCGGTCCCTTTTCTGGGACTATTGAGGAAAACATGTTTTAGTTCTGATTTAACTCAGTTTTACTCAGTCTCATGTGAATTTTTTTCCTCCACCTCGTATAGAATCAGGAAGAGTAATTTCTTCTTTTAATGTCTTTTCAGTTGCTACTGTGTCTGTCCAGATGCAGTAATCCAGAGTTGCCTGTGGGTAATGTATCTTAAACAACCTGCATAGGTAGCATATGCATGAAGGCTATTAAGATGATGTCTGACTCTGACATACAAATGGATCTGTTTCATGTCAAGTGATCAGGATGACTTTTGAGTAATACCGACCAACTTTCAGCAGGATCTGAAAATTCCTCTTACGCACATGCAGGCCATTCAGCTTGAAAAAAGCAGGAATTATTCTCAGTCCAAGTCTTGCAATCTTCAGTATGCCAAGTCACCTGATTTTCCAGTTGTTTTATCCATAACTACTTAGTTATGTACTATTCTACCAAAATGTACCCTCCTTAGATTTTTCTACATGGTCTCTGGGTTTCTGAAAATTATTTCCATGTGGTTGGGCAGCAAAGAAACTTACTGGCTGGGCTTGAAGTGGGGGATGGGGGGATTTGTCTGGACCAAGACGGGACTTTCAGTCTGCTTCCAGATGGAAGCCATGCCTGGCAGGGGGAGACTTCTGGAAGGAAAATAGAAATCTATTTGGGATCTCTGTCCATAGTCTCATGGGCTGGATATGTGTGTTGTATGTCCTTGATCTGTTTGTGTGTGTGTGTGTGTGTGTGTGTGGTTTTGGCTTCAGAGGAAAAAATTTTAAGGCAAGGTTTGAAATATTTGTGTTGAGATTTCAAAAAATAAGCTCCTCCAATAAGACACTGATGGTAGTACTCCATAATTGTTCTGAAAAATAATGGATATTTCACTTAAAAGCTAAAACAAGCTGTTTATTATATTCAATGGGATTCTCAAATCTGCAGGTGTTTGATTCCGTTCCTTCTTTTAGGTAGGATTGTTTTTTACGCCGGAGTGCAGATTCCCTTCTAAAAAAAACCTTAGTTTTCCTTCTTATAGCTGTGGATGTGGTCAATATCTTCAGTTGTCCTCTCCATGGTGACTGGGTTCAGACTTTGCTGGCTAGGCTTGGTTTTTGCATGCTGTGAATGTCTACGTCAGCATAGTCCTTGAAGTCTCTTTCTTAGTTATGAGGTGTTTGAAAATTCTTTGAGCTTGCTTACCTGTTGCAAGCCTTTCACTGACATGGGAGGAAAATATTTACCTCAAGTGGATGGTTGAAATGTGGAACTGCTTCTTGTCTGTCATAGGCAGCACTTCTGTAGTCAGCTCTCTAGAATGCAAGGGCTGTGTGTGTGCTTTGTCTTCCGTGCTCCGGTTCTCGATTTAACAGCTTGCCCTCTTTTTCCTATGCATGGCATTTCTGCAGAGATGGTTTAGTTATACTCTGAAAAGCTGTAGATCTCTGAAATATTTGATCAACAGCTGCACTTGAATCTTATTTCTAGTGTGTATGTAAGGAAACAAGAAAACCAAACTGTAGAGCAGATTGGCTGTTTAATGGTGGGCCTTTTGTTCTTGACAATAAAACCTCTTACAGCATACTGGTTTGGTAAAGAAACATTAAAGTATGGAAAAGATAGATTACAACTGCCTGTTGTATTTAGCAATCTGTAGACACTGAGGTTTTCCAGGTAAGTACTTCTAACATCTTGCTAGCTGTGTTTGTTGGATGTGCAATCCACAAGGGTGTGTGTTTAGACTTTAGCACAAGCCCAAGCAGCCATCTGTGTAAGTAAAATGGTTTTGAAGGAGTGAGAAAGCAGATGAATGTCAACTTGCTGATGCAGATCTTCCTAAGCTAACTGTATAGCTAGTTTCCTTTTTTGGGTGTCCCTCTCTATGACCACATAAGAGTGCTTAAAGAAGATAGAATTATTAAGCAACAAATACTTAGAGGGAGTTCAGGGTGAGCAGAGGTTTCTGAGCTGACTTCGAACATATCTCTGAATAGCATATGGTACAGGTTGCTGTAATCCCCTTTCTCAGGATTGCAAAAGAGATCTAGAAGAAAGTTCTTTATTCTTAATCTTTCACTGCCTAATTCTTTTCATTCTTTCTCTTCTGTGCAGGTGCTGTGCTATAGAAGATGCACTATTACCGATATTCTCATGCAGAAGTCAGCTGTTGGTACAAATACCTGCTCTTTAGCTACAACATTGTCTTCTGGGTGAGTACAAAATCTACTCACTGAAATAGTTTAGGCATACCTCAGTTTTATTAACTTCATTTCTCTTTTCAATAGAAAAGGCTGAAATAATTTACCTGAAAGCAGGAAGCTTGATGTTTGGTATGTCCCTGGTGTTTTGGAATTGAAGAAGGCTATTCCATGTGAGAAAATAATTACTATTGAAAATTGTATGGATACCAGTTCCTCATAATCGTTCCCTTCCTTGCCCCTTCCTCCTGACTTACCTTCTGAGTGAAGATAAAGGAGTGAGGCAGACAATAATGGGTTTCTTTGTAGTTTTTTTTAAATGGAGAAAGGAAAGATCTGCTTAAAGGATTTGTTAAAATAGTGTAGTCTCCATGGTTCCTGACAAGGCCTTTCTGTTTTGAATGATAGAGGCCATTAAATGCTGCTTGTGTTTGGGCAAAGGTTAAAGCTACCTTTTTGCGGGAGAGCTGAGCACGCACACAACCAATGTGATCAAGCAATGCCTGTTTATTACAACTAAGAAAGCCCTTTTATAATGTTTTCTTGCACACGAGTAACATGCAGTACAAGTCCTCAAGACTGGACAGTTAACTTAGCCTGCGCTTTAAGCGTTCTTATGATTGGATAAAAAGTGCCACATCAGCCTTGCCAGGCTTCCTGCCTTGTGTACCTTCCTCTTCTGTCCCAACCCCTTCTGGGGGTGGTTTGTCTCATCATTTCTCCCCCTTCATTCAGGGTTACGTCCTTATCGCATTCTTGCTCAGGCTGAGGCTCTTATCAGTCTTGTTCTCACGCAGGATTGCTCACATGTCCATTCTCTCATAGAAAGTCCTCTTGAATCCCAACACCTTTAAGTGACTTAAGTGGTATGTTAAGTTGCTTCCCTGCTAAGTCCCTTCTAATACCTCCTTTCAGATGACCTCTGATCTCTTTGTTGGGGTGGTGTAGCTGTAAATACACTGTACAGAAGAGAAGAAAGGAACTGCCCCAGAGATTTGTCAACAGCTGGCATTACAACGTAGTCAGGATCTTAAATGACATGCTCTATTGGCAGCAAAATTGTCTTGATACTGTCTTGAAATACCTAGCTATGGACTAGTCTGCCTGTAATGTTTATTTAGAATTCTGAATGTGAAAGGGGTGCAAAAGCAGGTGTGTGGTTTTAGATGTGTGTTATGGTCAAATCACTGAAGCACCTAACTACCTACCTTGGAAAAGAAGGCTATTCAAAGGTTGGTGCGTAGCATTACATTAGAGATAGTTAACACGTCTGAGGGGAAGGTAAGGATGCAGTTTGTGTAAACAATAATTCTGTTTGGAACTTGCAGGTCAAATGTTAGGATTTTGCACCTGCAGTCATGGAAAGGCGTGGGGAGTCCGGGAGAAGCGCAGTTGTGGTGACATGCCAGGTTCTAGCAGCTTGGACTAATGGTCTGATGCAGAGTTGAAATATATCTTAGTATGGATAGCCACTACTAAGATGTTTAGATTTTTTTGAAAGCTGGAAGGATCAGGTTGTAAGAATGAAAGTACGGTATGTGGTTGAATCAACTTAAGTTAAGAGTAAAAATTGATCCTGACTTGTCTGAGATCAGTAGACATGCTAGAGAAGACTATAGTAATTTGCGTTGTTTACTGTGATTACTTAAACCATGTAAGCTTTTTACTACATAAAGTTGAAGATACACAGAACTGTTACCCACATCTGTATTTAACTTCAGTAAAAAAAGTTTAGTACCTGAACACACATTGCAGGCTGCAGAGTCTTGTTTGTACTTGTCAGTAATGACTTGGTGTTTTGCTTGATTAACTCACATAAACTTCTGGTAAACTAGGTTGGCGTTTCTGCATGTTTTGGTTGCTTTGGCAGTATTTAAGGTAGAAAATAAACCTTTGACAGCTGCATGTATGATGGACAAAACTCTAGATTAATCTAGTCATAGAAAAGTCAATTTGATGCAACTTCAGGAGTTCATCTGGCTTCATTTTCTGTTGAAAGCAAGACCTTTAGTGTAGGAAAGAATTGCTCAAAGAGAAGAGCTGGGAGTCTTCTGAGCCGCTTGCTCATCAATTTTCTGCCATCTTCAGCCTAATAAGAAAGTTAGGTAATAATGAGACTGCAACCTTGGGTATTGTTGGAAACCACAGAATGTTTTGCTGCTGTATTGCTTCTTTTTATTAGTGCATTGTTTTAACATAATACTGGAGCATTAAGCCACAGGGAATTTATTGTTGTGTGGATAACAGGGCAGAAAAGATGTGTGTTTGCATAGAAATTTGTTTCTAGTAAGAGTTAATTAACCACAGTATTACCACAGTGCAAATGTTCATTAGTGATTCCCATCACGGCGTCGTGTCAAAACTATGTTCTCAGAGGCCACCAGCTCCGTAGTTATTTTTCTTCTATATAGTACAACTCCCATGTACCTGTAGTGGCAATTAGTGCAACGAGAAGTAATACCTGCCAAGCTATTCTGGTTTTCAGAGCAATCATTTTGTAAACTGGGTGGGTGCTCTTCAGCGGGGGTAGTGTGGTGGTGGTGTATGTGAGACATCGGCACACACTTTTGCTCATGACTATCTTAAGATCGTTCTAGACCTCTGCTTACTTTCTGAGTGTCTCATGAAGTGGGGTCTCTTTTTTGATGAGCAAACAGCCTTTGAAAAAATGATTTATTTTTGGTCTTTACTGGGAAGACTATCAAGAATTTACCTCTGCTTTCTCAGAGTAATTAATTTTGTCTCTCTTTCCTGCAGTTTCACTTCAAATTTCATTTACTCTATACTATTGAAATTAGTGAAGATCCAAGGATTTTTCTTTTTCTTAAAGAATCATTTTAAAGAGATGCAGAAAAACTGAGGAGAATTTTAAATACAGCTTGTGTGTTTCAGCTGATCTGTTGTCTGGAGGAACTGGAAATACTAGTAGTCTTGGTAGCTGGCTCAACAAATGGTCTGAAACTTCTCCTGAGATGTTATTATGGTGCTGACTTAGTAAATTATGTGTACTACAGCTCTTGATAAAAGTTCTGCACCTTTAGTTGTAGAACAAGCTATTTAAATGTTGAGTGGGAGAGTAGACACTCCTGCAGGCAATGGATGAATCATTTAGCTGACAGTGATTCAGGAGCCCATGACATCCTGCTGGCTGGGATGACTAGTCTAACAATCTCTTTAATTGGACAAAGCCGTTATGATTAGAACAAAGTAAATTTTCTGTGTGCCATAAGTACTGAAGGACTACAAAATCAGAAGGGAAATATAACCATGACTTGAAAAGCAGCATTTAAGGAGGGAATGTTAGTCTTGATCCACTTTTCTTGGCCTGCAGGATAGGTGATTGTAGGAGCTGGTTTTGTGAGTGTTTGTGTTTGAGAGGATGGCTGCTATATAACGGGTACGAGGAATGGTATTTAGATGGGTGTGTGTAGCCTATAGCTCATCTAAGCTGTTACTGGAGGTATGATTATAGCTCACCTGTTTCTCAAGACACAGTTTATTCACAGAGCAGTCAACTTGCATGTAAATAGTTGCATTTGTTCTGTCACACAGTAAAGAAGCATGTTGACTTCCCCGTTGTAGCTCTAAAGATAGTATCAGTGACTGTATAAACTTTAAAATTAAAGCATATGGTGACTTGGTTTACAGAATATTTAAGCTTTTTAGTGGGTTGTACTTTTCTTCAGTTCGTTGTGTTTCATATACAGTTCATGTAGATTGTGGTGGAACTAAATATTGAACTAAAAGGACAAATATGGCGATTTTAATGTCAAGCTCACAGTTTACTCAGCCTTTAGAAATCTGTAAATCTTCACTCTTTGGAATTTTTTTAATATTTTTTTTTTTCCAGACAGGCAATTTGGCAATAGAAGATTCAGTTCTGATGGCTTTGAGTTAGTTCTGTATGACAGGCAATTTGGCAATAGAAGATTCAGTTCTGATGGCTTTGAGTTAGTTGTGTACAACTGCCTTACAAAATCACTTCTCTATTTTTTGTGTTTGGCTTTCACTTGTAAGAAAGGGAATGGAGGCTGTGTCTTCCTAGACATGCTTTTAATGTGGAATTACTGTATTTTGATCTTACTTTTAAGCATGATAATAAGATGTAAACTTCTCCAAGTACAGTTGTTATGGTGAGTAGTGATGAGGCAGTATTTCA